TTCTAGAACAAATCCTATTCAAAGACATTAATTGACCGATTTGGTCATGTTGCGCCTTAAAATAATACCAAACTTGGAACTAAAATTCAAGTTACCACAAAAATATTAGAAAATCCCTTCCTACGAACATAGGTGAAATGATACTATAAACAAAACAAAATCCCCTACTCTTTTAATTGATTCAAAATCTATAAGGTAAAACTGTATAAAGTAATACCGTCAAAAAATAACTATTTATTAAGTCCTATATTATGCCAGAACATAGTGTTCATAGCTGATCAACTTTGTCAAACACCCAAGTTTAAAATAACAGAAGTGCCAAGTTCAGGTTGAGGGCGTTTCCAGCCAGAGCGCTCAAAACATTTGTGACCCTAGACAAGAGTTGCTTTAGGGGTCTTCTAATAATATAAGTATATATTAAAAAATTTCAAATTTATTTTTCTGTCTTTTGAGATGCCAAATCACTAATTAAATTTATATTAAGTTTAGAAACCAAATCTTTTCAATTGAAATATAGCTAAATTACCTAATATTTTGTGACATAGTTGAACGCAAATAAGATTTTATTAACTTTAATTTTGAAAAACTTCTTTCTGCTGAAGCATAGTAACTGGAATAGTTAACAGATTCTATAAGCTATCCATGCATTGGAAATATAATTACTTTTTATAAAATCTAGTATTTCAAGTGGTGTTTTAATTTCCACGTTTGAATTCTTTTTAAAACTTTTAATTCAATAAAAATCTAAACCATCAATATCAGAGAGCATGTCATATTTTAAAAAGTTTTCAAGATTAAATAATGTTTCTGCAAAATATCCTCAAGCAATTTTAACTTTCTATATTATAAATAATACCAAAATTATTACTATATATTTAAAATGTTCAAACCTACTTTGAAGTGAGGAAATGACATGATCAACTAAATATGTGAAAAAATTATTCTAAAAGATTCTTCAGCAGACAATTTCATCTCTTCGTTTTCCTTCTCATCAAATTGTTTTTTTCTCTTTATATACGTTTTTCATGAATTTTGGTTCTATATTCATTTGCTCTGCAATCTCTTTAGCAGAAATCATAGAAGATGTAAACCCATTTTCCTATATTTTAAAAAATGAAACAAGACCTTTCAACTGATCTGTTGCAACAACAATGTCCATATTTTTAGATTGTAAATATTTACTAACCACATTAACAGCAAATAACAATTCATACCAAATTCATGCTAATAGAAATTCAAAATTTCAATCTCATATGTACTAAGAAATAGCTTCACTTTTTGTTTTAGGACTTCACTAGTTTCTGCTAATGATATAAGCATCTCTTATTGTGGGCTTGAAATTTATTGCTTTACACTTTCAACACGACTTTCCCAAGTGTTTGTGATAATGCTTAAGTGTCAAATTAGAAACATGATCTTGCAAAAAATTTCATCGTTTTGTAGAAAAGAAAAACAAGAGTATATATGTGGTCACTCCAAAAAATGTAATGCATTAGCACATGAATTAGTCATATCACAAAGAACTAAATTATGACTATGACAACCACATGGTGTATAAAATGCTCTAGAATTTATATTAATAATCTTTTTTGCACACTTGATGTTTACCTTTATACTAGACCCATTATATCATCCTTGTCCTCTACATTGTTACAATCAAGTTCAAGATTTTTTAATATACTTGTGAGAACATTAAAAAGGCTTGACCAGAAGTATCATACTTTTATAAAATCTATAAAGTACTCTTCTATTTTTATTGGACATTGAAATATTACACATCTAATATAAGTGACATGTTCTTGATGACTGTATCTGGGGTACAATCAAGTATAACTGAAAAATATTTTGATCTTTGATTTTTTTTTTTTTTTAATAATGGTATTTCTTATTTCTATGCTAAAATATTTATCAAATCTTTGTATATTATGACCAAGATAATATGTATGAATTTCTCATTTTGAATACGTCTAAGGTGTTCTTGCATTATGGATCAAACTCAGCAATCATTTCAATTAAACTCAAAAAAATTCAATTATTCTTGATAAATTTCTCATTTGTACCACAAAATGCAAATATTTTGAAAGATTTTTTACACTGCATAATTCTTAATGTACATTCTTCATGCTCTTTCTCTTTATTATTTCTCTTGTAAATATTTATCAATTGTTTTGTTAAGCAATCTCATCTCAACATCAACCTAAATGTATTTAGCATGTTCATGCTTATTTCGTGACTTTTAAGTTGGCACTAAGATTTTTCCACTCTCACACCCTTCATTTGCTAATTGAATGTGTATTGCTTTTAAACTAATAATTTACAACAAAAACAAAAAAATACGTATTTAATTCTTGTGAAATACTAGCCATTTTCTATCATGTTTTTCTCCGTTTGGTAATTTTCGAATGTAATGAATTGTAGAAAAGCGTCTAGAATTTTCATCTCTTAGAAGATCTAAAACTTGTCTAATTAGACCTTTTTCAACTAATAAATTTGTGTCTAAATTATTCCAGTATATGGGGTCATAAATATTTTTAATAGTTGTTTCATCTTCATCATTAATATTTTCATTTTTGTCGAATGGAATTTCTTCTTCTAAATTTTCATGACTCTTCACTAGTATTTGATGAATTTGAATTGTTATCTTTAAAAATTTCTTCACAATTTTCAATTGATTTTTCATTTGGTTTTTCTAGCATTTGGTGTTTTGTATTAATAACAAATTTATCAAGTGCACCCTTTTGGGATTGAATTAGTTCTTCTATTCTTTTTTTTTCCTTACGTTTTTCAAATCCAGATTCACACTTCCTAGTAGACATCTATATTGAAAGAATAAATAATTTAGAGCTCTTAATATTATTTTGATAAAATAAAAATAATTATAAAAATTAAGAAGGAATTTTAGCACCTGATTTATGCTCCTGATTTTGCTTTTTGCTGTGCTAATACTCAAAAATCTTATATTATTACCCTATATAAAAATAATAATGTAAATCACTTGATCAAATATAAAGTAAAATCAGTTAACAATGCTAAGAGTAAAATGATTTAAAACTCTTAATATTACCTTGCATAAAAATAATAATATAAATCACATTCACTTCATAAATTCAAGTAATAAAGATGAGAAATGAGAGACAATAGATGAGAAATGAGAGACAAGAGAGTAAAATAGATGAGAAAGGAGAGACGAGAAAAACTGAGGTAGAATAATAAGAGTAAAAGATGAGAAAACCTTGAATAAAATGAGGTTTATATAAGAGATGGTGATTCCAATTTGGGGGGGGAGAGGAGATGTGATTTGACATTTGAGAGTTGGAGGGTTGTGTGAAAGTGTTTCAATTTGCAATGGAAAAGTGAGCCGTCATTGTGTTTTAAGTTTAAGAGATAGGCATAGCTGATTGGATGGACGGGGGAATCGATGGGACTTGAGAAATTATAATTATATTAAAAAACTCTTAAAAAAATCATTTTGGGTAGAGGTAGGCATAGGCGAGTAAATGGTGGGATTGATGAAAATCGAAAAAATTATAAATATATTAAAAAGTACTTTAAAATGTAATTTTGGGCCCCTTTTTAACACCTTTTTTTGGGGGCCCTAGGCAGTTGCCTTACCTGCCTGGGGGTTAAGCCGGGCCTGTTCCAGGTAGGACTGTAAACGAGCCGAGCCGGCTCGCTCAATAAAAGTTCGTTTAGAGCTCCGCTCGATAAAAGCTCGTTTAGAGCTCGGCTCGATAAGGCTCGGTTCGACTCGACTCAAACTCGGTTCGTTAACCGAGTCGAGTTCGAACACAGTGAAGCTCGACTCGTGGGCTCGCGAGCCTGGCACGGCTCGATTAAGCACTGTACACTTCACAGGGTGTTTTGGTGATTTTTTAAACTATTAGATATTAAACTGATATTTTCCAGTGAAAAAAGTTTAAAAAATTTTTTTTTACCCCCCAAAGTGCAAATTTGAAATAACATGATACACCAAAACAGAGCGTCAATTACTCAATTTCAGTTCCCCATCCCAGTTGCCCTAAATCCCAAATCGCAATCAAAGACCCCCAAATCGCGAACCAGACACTCTGAAATCGGTAATCTCCTAGAAATGTTATTTGTATATATTCAAAACTGTTTTTTAATTTTGTAAGGTAATATACATTTTGTAATGTTCGAAACTGTCATGGTTAATTCAACATTGGATGTAAATATGAAATGTTGTACACAGGCAGATTGCTGTAAAAAAAGGGAACTTGGCTCGATCAAACCCGGATAAATGGTGGTTTGATCGAGCCTTATCGAGCTCGCGAGCCCTTATAGAGCTCGAGCTCGATAAGGCTCGCAAGCTCGCTATCGAGCCGAGTCGAGCTCGACTCGAGCTCGAGTCTCAATTTTGAGGCTCGCCAGGCTCGAGCCTGAGCTCGAGACTGTTGTAAACGAGCCGAGCTCGATAAGCCAAAAGCTCAACTCGGCTTGGCTCGGCTCATTTACACCCCTAGTTCCAGGCTTCCTTGGAACCAAACTTTTTCCATATTGCTAGTTCACCAAACTCCTGGACCTTCACCTAAAACAGTTTTATCTATTCGGTTATATCGAACTAATGCATGAGATCAAACATGCGTCGATGAACCATCAGATTGATTTCCCAAACAATCCAAAATCACAACTATGTGGGCTGTATGGTATTTGTCTGAGTCAAAGGTTAGTTGAATTACCCAAATCATAACCAGGAACTTTTGTGGATTGCTTAAGAGTTTGGGTTTTCTGGGAATCCCCAACTTTAAGTTAAACTTGCAGGTAGTCCTATTAGGGAGATAACCTAACCAATGTTTCTCTATGCTTTCCCCAACCACAACTCATCGAACTTTGATTCTAACTAAATGACCAACCATAGTTCAACATTTCCATCTATATAAGCCTATTTGATATGAGTAACTCTTCAAGAAAACACATACTAGAATTTACCCATTGTTTATAAATTCCAGCTAGTGTTTTGTGCCTTCTGCTATTATCCAAAAATGGCTTTTTCTAAAGATTTTCTGGCTCTATGTTTGTTGATAGCGCTATCATTCTCCAGCATTGACATGAGCCTGGCAGCTCGCCATCTTTTGGACACACCGGCAGCTCCACCTCCATCATTAACGCTGCCTACAATTCCACCACTGCCGAAGGCCACATTACCTCCATTGCCCTCAGTGCCAACTTTGCCTCAGGCCACATTACCGCCATTGCCCTCGACTCCATTGCCAACACTGCCGACGCAACCAACTATTCCAAAGCCCACACTGCCACATTTGCCAAGCACCCAAATCCCATCTTTGCCACAACCTACATTGCCCACCATCCCCGCAACCCCTAAGGTTACACTGCCGCCATTGCCATCTACTCCTCTGCCCACAATCCCCACCATCCCAACAACAATACCAACCATTCCATTCCCCTCCCCACCCCCATCTAAATGAGCTAACAGCCCTTGAAATGCCACGGTTACCAGTTATTACCACCAGTTAGAATGTTTCTTGGATGTGTTTCAAGTCAGATACCGAGGGACCTGCCATGGCACAAGTGCGTTTCTGCTGGACTTGAGTTAGTCCATATATATTTGTTTTAGTCCATATATATTTGTTGTTTTGTGGATCAATTATTTCATTCTCATCCAGAGAATCTTAATTTATCTCTTTCTGTTCATTATTTATAGTAATGTATGGAGTATATTTTATTATGTATTAGTCTTACTCTTCTTGATACAGATGTTATAGTTCTCAAAACAAGCTCTTTTAAGGATATGGCCATGATTATGTCATGGATATAAATAATATTTTAATTTATGCTACATCTTCAAAATGTTTAAGGATGAACAAAAGTAGAAAAGCAGCACATAAGGCTGCAAGGAACCAGCAAATATCAAATGACCTGCAGGCACAAAGGCACTAACTCTAGTCCCAAACCAAACAGGAAAAAGCTAATCACTACAAAGATTTCATTTAATTTATAAAATTATCTTCAAATTCCAGATTCTCCATTGAAAGAACTAGTTACAAGAAAATGAATGCAACGTATATGCAATTAACGTTGGTAAAGTTGCTACTTCTGAACAAGAAAGTGAATATAACTGTATTTAGAAGTGAAAATATATTGGAGAACTGCTTATCTTCAATTCCAACTTGAAGCGTTTCTGTTCTAAGAAGAGAAATACTAGTAAACGCTATAAACTTAGAAGTTTTGCATCAATGGACAAAGCTGGCAGCCAAAATCCTTGAATAAGAAACTAGTAACATTGGCATTCAACTGAACATTCTGTTACAAAGACCAAAATCCTCATCTAAAGTTCTTGTCTTTCTCAATGGTCTACAAGGATCCAGTATTAATACATTTTGGTATGGAACTTCCATTTTAAAATTTTATGTACAACAATAAGATATCAGGTCAACAATCACCTTTTCAGAATTGATTAGTATCCCCCGGCTATTAATTTTACAGGGAATTTTACCGAAAATAGCCCCAAAACAACTTATTAGCAAATTCAAACCCCATGCATCAAAATTTTTTTCTCTAAAGCAGGGAAGCACATGTGCATACCCCTCCTGGACCAGTTCCCTTCATGAAGTTATTAGAAGTGTTGACAGTCTCTTTACTTGAGTATGACTAGTAAAGTCGGTCTCAGTGTTTATAGAAAACTGTATCTCGGCTACAATTGGCTTTGATGGCATCCTCCAAATTCTCAACCCGATCGAAATCAACTTTGAAAGTAACCATGGTGACTCCATCTTTACCAGTATCATAATCCTGCTTGATGTCCTCAACTTGAAACGATTGTAGCTGTAAAAATCAAAATGAGAGTCAAGTTAATGTTGAAATTACCATATGGAAGACATTATTAGAACTAGAAAAGACCACAAAAGGCAGCAATGAGAATGTAGCACATAAGAATGCCATATTTGTTGGACAACTTAGGCAATAAGAATTCTATATCCCATGAAGGTTGGACAACATCTTAAGTTTTGCGGTACTTGTCGTCAATTCAGAGAAAAACTTAGCAAGAGCACAAAACAAGCTACAGAATATCAAAAAGAAGATCAAATTATGCTGTTAAGATTGAAACATGACAGGTTTAAAACTTATAGACCTCCACAATGAAAATAAAGCATGACTATCTAACAATGATAGCATAAACTAGAAAATCCTATTTAATTTTCTAGACAGTGGCATAAAAAATTCAAATCACAGTTAAGAGGAATGAGCTGCTTTAGGCCTGAAGTGAAGATCAAATTGATTTAATTTCATTGTCCACTTAAGTAATTTACCCGAGGCTTTTGGTTTTTGAAGGACCTGTATGAGCTAGTAATTAGTTAAGACATGGATCGTATGGGCATGGATGTAAGGTCGCAGCTTTCTGAAGGCGATTACCAAGACAAAGGCTAATCGCTCAATTTCTGGATACCTTGTTTTGGCATCCAGCAACTGTTTGCTAGTGTAATACATAGGCCATTGAATTTTGTTTTCTTCCCGAATAAGAGCTGCACTGATCATGTTGAGAGACGGATAGGTAGAGAAACAAGATTTCTTTGGGAAGTGGCTTAGACATAAGAGGTGGTTTTCCAAGATGCTCTTTTATGCTTTGGAAAGATTTCTCACATTCTGAAGTCCATTCAAATTTCTTATTAGCTTTGAGTACATTGAAGAATGGCAAACAACGATTTGCAGCTCTCGATATGAGATGACTAAAAGTCATTATCCTTCCATTCAAGCTTTGAACTTGCTTGGGTTTTGTAGGACTATTCATATCTAACAGAGCTTGGATTTTTTTGGGGTTGACTTCAATTGCCCGATGGTTAACCATGTACCCTAGGAATTTACTCGAGGCTACCCCAAATGAAGTTTCATTTTGTATTTTTTGAAGTGGATTAAGTTTCATTTTGTATTTTTTGAGTATGTTGAACATTTCTCAAAGGTGAGCTATGTGATCTAAAGCAACATGCGACTTAACCAACATGTCATTGACATAGATCTCCATTGTTTTCCTCTTATGCTCAGAAAGCATTCAGTTACCCTGGTGCTAGTACGTTGCTCCAACATTTTTCAGGCCGAAGGGCATGACTTTGTAGTAGTACAGCCCTCGATCTATAATGAACGAGGCATGTTCCTCGTTAGGCATGAACATCGGGATCTGGTTGTATCCCAAAAATGCATCCATGAAGCTTAACAACTCGTGCTCGGAAGTGGTATCTATGAGCTGGTCAATTCTGGGCAAGGGAAAACTGTCCTTTGGGCAAGCCTTCTTGAGATCCATGAAATCAATGCAAGTTTGTCATTTACCATTGGGTTTTTTTACCAAAACAGGATTGGTGACCCAACTAGGGTAATGAGCTTCTAGAATGAACTCAATTAAGAGGAGCTTATCCACCTCACTTTTGAGAGCCACATAGCACTCTAGGTCCATGGCCCTTCTTTTTTGGCGAATTGGCCTGATCTCACGATCGATGTTGAGTGCATGACAGATCCCAATCATGTCGATCTGTGTCCATGCAAAAATATCGATATTTTTTCTAACAAAGCTCGTTAAATTAGTTGCGAGCTGAGGTTTGAGATTACTGTCGATTCTCACCATAGGAGCTAGCTCATGCTCGTCGATAGGTACCTCAGACAGTATCTCTACTGGCCCACTGTGGGAATTCCCTCCTGAACACGAGGATCAATGTTATCCTCCACTAGGCCATGTTGTGGCTTCATCTTGCTGGTCACCACTGACTGCTATGTCTTGCCCTCGGACTTTCCTTTCCCGTTGCATGCAATCTTGATTGCTTGATTGTAGCGGTCGCGAGATTTACTTTGTGATCCCCTCACTTCCCCACACCCTGATGAAGTAGAGAACTTCATCTTCTGATGGTAGATAGAAGTGATGGCTTTTAAGGTACATAGTTGTGGTTGTCTACTGATGCCATTGAATGCAGAAGGGCAGTCCACTACCAGGAATTTCGTCATCTTGGTCACTTCGTGGGGATCGCCCAAAGTGATTGGAAGAGTTATCATTCCTCGAAGAGTTAGATGTTCCCCGGTAAACCCATAGAGAAGAGTGGCTACAGGCTGAAGGTATGTATCTTACAGCTTCATCTCCTCAAAGGCTTTTTGAAACAGGATATTCATGGCGCTCCCATTGTCTATCAACTTTTTGTGAACTTCGCATCTTCCTATCTTAGCAGCGATGACCAATGCATCAACATGAAGGTGATGCACTCGTCTCACATCTCTTTCAAAGAAGGTTATTTCTTCTTTTCTACGTTGTTTGTGAGGTCGCTGTTCCAGATTGAGAACAATGTAAGGCTCATATCAGGCTTCTCGGGCATACCGATCTTGTGCATGTCGAGTGATAATCATATTTTACACTATGATTTTGCATTGAATTTTGATAGGATTTAGGATATTTTCATACAATTTGGGCCATAATTGCTACCTAGTTCTATTAATTTGTCTTTGCAGGCCTAAACGATGATTTTGAGCATAATGACAGTTTTGAGCGTAAATTGTGTAACTTGAGATTGAAAACTTAGAATGACCTGAATTTAGAAGCTTTGGAAAGCTACGAAGAAGAGCTACAAGTCTTATGTTTTGGTTTTTTCCTAATTCTGACTAGACAAGGGTGAAAACTTGGCTTGAATTCGTGAAAAGTACGCTAGGAACTAAAGAAAAAACGTCTTTGGATGTGCTTCAGTATTTCTGCCATAACATGATATGTAGACCTCGGATTGTCCTGATTCTTGAACAAGTAGAAAGATAATTGAAAGGGATACAATTCATATTTTTAACACTTTTCCAGATTCAGAATCTATCATGCTCAAATTTGGCCCGAAATCCTCGTTGCGGCAAGGAAAAAGCTTCGCCGTGGTGAAACCTACATCAGCTGTAAAAATAAAACGACGCGTTTTGGCTTGCTAGGGCTTCATCCTTAAGAGAGAGAGGTATAAATTAGAGTGAAAAGGAAGAGAAAAGGGGACTTGGTTCGTCATTTGGAAGGCAACTCTTGGAAGGAAAAGAGTATTGAAGATTTGGGCTTCAAATTAGAGAAGATTTCTCCATCTTTTGCTTGTTTTTCAATGATGAATCTTGATTCAATTTATTTTTGTTATTTTATTTCGTTTTTGAGTATGAACTGAGTTGTTTAGCAAGGGTTTGATGTAATCTTGATACAATGATTCAAATTTATACGAATTGATTTACTTTGAGTTTTAATTTCATGATTGAGTGTTTATCTCTTTGTTTAATAACTTTTGGATGCTTGATCACCATTCAAATGTGTGTTGTTCACAATGAGACTGAGAAGTGATTTGTGATTGTGCCTCTTGGGATAAATACCATAGATTAGCAAACGCTAGAGATAGGTTTAGCGATCTATGAAATCTAGATAGAATTCCACAAAGCTTAAAATCCTTTGAACTATTAATCTTAATTTTGTTGGGTGCGGAAG